TTTACCAATAATTATACTATGTTGGTACCTTCCTAGAGATACGTACATGAAGATTTTCGTACAAATTCTTTCCTGTGTATTTATCTACGGATATATTTTGTAGGTAAATGCCTAGAGATCGGGTACAAATTACTTACATTTACAAACATTAAGATTTCCCTATAAGATATTCTCTAGGTTTTTTACCTACAAATATATTTATATACAAATGCCTAGAGACTGTATATAAAATTTATACGTTTTCGTACACGAAGATTTCCCATCAATATCTTCACCATGTATTTAACTCAATATATTTTGTAGATAAATGACTAGAAATTTCCCACAAATATAACTTAACATGTTGTGTCTTGTATAAGAAATAGTGCAGCTTATGTATCATATAAATACATGCTTTAGTGACAATATATTGTTTGTGCATGCTCAACGTCATGATTTTGTGATATGCAAACTGAAACGAATATGAAACTGATACAAGAGAGATTTGCTTCCATTCTTGTGGGTGGGAGATTGTGTGATGGTTATTTATTTTTTTATAGGCATTAAAATCTCTAGATAATGTAGTCATGGTAAACTTGTTGGAATTAGCTTTATGCGAAAATCATTGCTATATCCCAGGAGCTTTCATATCAAATATTAGAGAATCAAGCTAGATAGCGGAAGCGTACCTTAGGTGGATTTATAGATCCGATCACCATGGACTTGGATCACGAACACGTCCTCGATCACGAACGATGTCGGTTTTATGGCCTTCCTCAACTAAATCGCCTCATTCCTCATATGGGACCGTCATTCTCAATTCCGATGGAGAGAAGAGAGAACTATGTTTGATTTAGTGTGTTGGAGACCATAACCAAGAGGGTCTATATACACTAATAGGGTAGGCCACCCATTATCACCTAACCCTAGTAATATTAGGTATCCACTCATTAAGTCCATATCAATTTATGTAGCCCATGAACTCTACTTAATTTAGATCACTTAATTGAGTCCATTAATTAATTGAATAGCTAATATAATATAATTGTATATAATATGTTGCCCATAATTAGATTATACATAGGAAAAAAAAATATTTCCTAACAATCTCCCACTTGGGCTACATATTATTTCCAGAGCAATTATATTAATTTCTTAATTGCGCAACTTTATGCTATTCACCTTCAGACTACCCTAACAATCTGGTCCATCTCATATACTAGCAATGAAACTACCGCGACTTTCACCACATTACAAATCGTGGATAAACCCCGGAAGTCACCATACTAGTACACTCAATGACATAGATCAAATATGGTGAGTGGCATGGAAATTACATGCAATGTGATCTTTAACATGTCTATTTCCAACTGGTCCAACTTTAAATCCTTATTGAGATCAATCCATAAATGTAACACGAAGTCAAAAATAGAAAACTTTAGTGATTCACAACGAATTAGAACCATCAACTTTATTCTGCAGAAAACTGAAGTGATAACTTCAAGAAAACATTGAACATCAACTCCCACTGAACCAAGGCATTATCCATAGTAACACTTATATGAGCGATATACTCATAAAATACTTCAAGTGTTAATACCTTAACATATCTTATAATGGAGCTATGAATTTGCTAGCATAAATTTATCCTTATGTGTTCAATAAAAATTCATCAACATGAATTTTATCCTTAGCAACAAGAAACTTTATGAAAATTTTTTGTTGTTGAAAAATGGCAAACTAATATTATCATAATAAACTTTAGTGGTATTCAATACCATCCGCAACATGCAACATAGTGATAATATTATGCAACCATAACCTTATAAGATGCCTTCACATAAGCTAAATCTCAATTGCTAAAGAGGAATAAACTATAAGTGTCTGCTTGGCACTTTCCAAATTAGTTCTTCCAACTACCAGTTAATGTAGCTTGACTTAGATTTGGAGCGTTCAACTTTACAAACATCCAATAAACTCAAAATTAGAGTTCCAAATGATCTCCCAAAAATGATCCAATAATCCTTAAGTGAGTATAAACTCTCTTTTGTTCTCAATCAAAACTTTATTAACCCCTTGGCTGCATTCAAAAGGTTAATAATCAATATTCAATCATTTGTCAAATAATTACATGTATGTGAAATTCAAATACATACAATCATGAAAATACAAAAGATTACCAACCATATGTATATATATTTTGTCTATTCTAAACTTTAACTCATTCTTGGGACAATGAATGAGATAGATAACATAAGTTTTCTTAAGAGTATCGACCACCCAACTTATAGTATATACATTTATTAACTTTATTTATCTCAATACAAAATGAGATAATGACTTAATATAATTGTAATACCATAGAGGGAGTTTACTTAATATTAAATACTTCAAAATGACATAGATTACAAAGAGTTTCTCATACAAACCAAAAGAAAAGCCTCTTGTAACCAAAATCATTATTTAGATGAAAATTATGTTGGCTAGACATACCTTATGTCTCTCATTATTGTCTTTTGAATCCATTGAGCCACATTTATGACCAATGAGACTCGG